GCCTTCAATCTTTCCAACTCAACCAAACCAAGGCAACAATAACTCCAAAGAAACAACCCAAGACTCCCTCATTCAACCATTGAATTCCTTAATGATTGATCAACGCCTATTCAGCGGCGATATAAAACTACCAGAATTCCATGGCAACCCATCGGAATTCGGTTCATTTTGGGAACTCTTTGAAGAACTTGTTCACAAACAACCCTTCTCCAACATAAGAAAGCTCTCCATTCTACTCAGTTGTTGCAAAGGAGACGCAGCAAGATGCCTACGAATGATTCCTCGCACAGGGGACTCATATGAAAAGGCAATTGAACAATTAAAAGATCAATACGAAGACCCAAGGAGAATAACCATACAAATGATCCGTCAACTCACATCAATGAAGCCATGTAATAATGACCCACGTACCCTACGTAACAATCTTAATGACATCAAAGCCATCATAGCCACAATACAAAAACAAGGCGAAATGGTGGACAATACCTACATGACTACATTAGTAATAGAAACATTCCCCAAACAAATTCAAGAAGAAATCGCTCATAAACAATTCGACAGCGGAAGAGAATGGGCAATGAAAGATCTCATTACAAACCTAACAACTATAATCAAACGAAGAGAATTTATTGAAAGTCGCAACGAACATTTACATGAACAACACTCAATTTTTCACATGCGCACTCGTGAGCCAAGGATGCTTCATTGCATTGGGTGCGGAAGACCTCATCAATTTGAAAACTGCGACAAATACCGTACAATTCCACAAAAGATAGAACGCCTCAAATCTCTAACTGCCTGTTGGAAATGTTTTAACCCACGCCACAAGACAATTTACTGTTACAGACCAGACTGCGCTAACTGTGGTGGACATCATAACACAGCAATATGCCAACGATACCAAACTCCCCAAGCCATCGCAAGCCCTTCCAACCATCACTTCAGCGTCCAACATCGACACCATACAATAGACAGCACCCATGGAAGTATAATACACTCCCTCGCTTTGCTACATTAAGACCACAAGCACCACAACGAATCCTCCAAGACAACAACGTCATACAGCGTCCGTATCGCTTTCCAAGACGAGCATCACTTTCTCCACGAAGACCAAGACAAACACACCACAAAGGAGAACGAGCAGTTCCCCATCAAGGGAAACAACTAATACTGTACTGAAAACAATCGTCCCTTGGACTCAGAACAGAGTAAGATTTGCTCCACTACCGAGAGATAATAAAAACACTAATCTTCATTCCCGTGCAACCCTTCTACAGCGTCAACCTTCACGCTCTAATAAGACATCAACAATAAGAAAACCTAATTCAGCCTTTGTGAACTTTCAAGTAAACTTCCATGTTACCGCAATAACACAACGGAATTCAGTAATCAAACAACGCTACACGCTAGATTAATGATAGCTCCACTAAAAGTAAAGAATGAAAACAATCAGAAAGAAGAACAAGTATACGCACTTCTAGACTCCGCTTCAGACCAATCGTTCATTTCCACGACACTATCCGACAGATTGCAACTTATTCCTAAATCAGAAACCTCCATAATAGTTAATACGTTTGGAGGACATGCGGAGAAAAAACACGTAAAACGAGTCGACGCCTTATTATTGAACCAAAAGGAACAATCGTTAAAAGTTACCTTACTCACAAATGATACGATAACACATGCACTACCAATATCAGAACTTAACATGGAAGATAAACTCTTCCTGGAAGACCAATTCCCTAACTTCGAACATTACTGGTTGCTAGACCCAACAACAGAAATAATTCCCGAAGTCTTACTAGGCATAGATTACTTCAACGTCATACTACAAATAAATGAGCCAACCCTACAACTCCCTTCCGGACTCCACATGACACCAACATTCTTCGGACCTGTCATATCCGGGAAACCACACGACACAATGAGCCACCATCCGACAACATCATCAACATATATAACTCCCAATGTACTCACGAGCACAGTAATCCTGATTACTCGGACTTGTGGAAATTGCCAGGCGTTGGCACAGAAGAACTGCAAACCAATGAAGAACTCAATCAACAAATAATTGCTAACTTCTACTCTACAGTAAGAATTAATGACGGCAAAATCTACGTTCAATTCCCATGGAAGCCTAACAAGCTCTCTTTAGCAGACAATTACCACTTAGCTCTTAGCCGATTGCATCAATTATATAAAATGAAAACAAAGAACCCAGAATGTTGGAACGAATACTGCAACATAATCAAAGAACAAATCGATAAAGATTTCGTGGAAGAAGCTACGCACATCTCAAACCAAACAAACCCACTGTACTACATACCACACCAAGCTGTAATTAAAACGACAAGTGCCACTACTAAAACCAGAATCGTACTCGACGCTTCCTCAAAAATGAAAGGTCAATTGAGCCTTAACGACGTAATTCATCAAGGACCATTAATCTTACCCAGCCTATGTGGCATACTACTAAGAGCAAGACTTGGTCCAAAAATAATGATCGCCGATGTGGAAAAAGCCTTCCATATGATATACTTACAAGAATCAGAACGCGACTCCGTCAGATTTCTGTGGCTCAAAGATGTTAACCTACCGCCACTACCACACAACATACGAATTCTTCGCTTCTGTCGGCTACCATTTGGAATAAATGCGTCACCATTCCTGCTTGGAATCTCAATCCAATACGGTATAGAACAACAAAAGCAACAAGACGACACGATCGTTCATCGCTTGGTCGAAAACTTATACGTCGACAACGTGCTCATGATTGACCATTCAACACAATCACTTCTTCACACTTACCACGTCTGCAAAAAGATTTTCAACAATATGTCTATGAATCTCCGTCAGTTCATCACCAATGACGATGCCTGCAACAATCTAATCGACAAAAAAGACAAATCCACAGCCTCGTCGATAAAAATTCTAGGCATCCCGTGGAACCATAACAATGACAAACTGTCAATTTCATGTAAGCTAACTTACACTTCCAATCCCACTAAACGTAAAATTCTACAAGCTACCCATTCCACGTTCGATCCTCTCGGACTACTTACACCTCTACTCCTCCCAGCAAAGCTTTTGCTACAAGACTTATGGAAGCAACAACATAAATGGGATGAAACCCTTCCTGACGAATATAATAACCTATGGAAACTAATATGCGAACAAACTCATGGATTCACGGTACACGTTCCACGACCAATCATTTCCCGAACAGAAAGCCAATATGAACTTCACACGTTTGTAGACGCCTCAATAAGGGCATACGCTACAGTAACATACCTAAGAGCCATACAGAAAAATGAAGCCATTACGAACACGATCTTAATGGCCCGGCAACGACTAGCACCCATTAATTCAAAAACAATGACAATCCCACGCCTAGAACTCCTAGCACTCCTAATCGGGATTCGTCTCACGAACTTCGTGCTGAAAGAACTCAAATTAAAAATCACACTCATTAATATTTACAGTGACTCACAAGTAGCACTACATTGGCTGCAATCCAAGTCCAAAAATGAGACGTTCGTGGAAAACAGATGTAAGGAGATAAAACGCACAGTTCAGTCATGGCTAGAGGAAAAAATCAATATACACCTATACTACATCCCTTCCGAAAGCAACCCTGCAGATTGTGCAACTAAAGGGATTACCAAAGAACAAATAAAACAATCTCTATGGTGGTCAGGTCCAGACTTCCTACAACAGGACCAAACCACGTGGCCACAGTTACAAGAATTTCACTGCAACCCTAAGGAAGAAAACATCGAAACTAGCCTTGACGATATAAATGAAAATGAACACACAACCTTCACGACTATCTCATCACCGTTACCGCAACCTTGCCATTTATTTATTAACAACATTTTCGTCACTTAACACACTTCGCATGTAACGGCACTAGTCTTGAAATATCTTAAGCGTCGGATATATGACAAATTAAGTGAACAGAGCAAAAATAAATTGTTCGCTTGCTACCAGAAATCGAACACGTAACCTCAACTATACCATTATCATCTCTCAACTCAACGGACATTCAAATGGCAGAGAGGATTCTTCTTAAACTCATGCAACGTAACATAACAAAAGAAGATAAACGTAAATGGGAACACCTAGGATTACATCCAGATGAAAACGGATTAATACGATGCCAAGGCCGTTTACGAGCCAAATATTTACCAAGAGATGTAATAGAACCTATTCTACTTTTACCAAATCAACACGTAACTGCACTCTTAATAAGAGACGCTCACGTCCGTTGTGGGCATCAAGGAGTTAATGGCACTCTTGCTAACCTCCGCCTCACATACTGGATACCGAAAGGCAGACAAATAGTACGAAAATGCTTAAAACATTGCCTAACATGCAAGAAATGGAACGGCAAGCCATACTTCTACCCAACATCTCCACCATTGCCAACAGCCAGAACCCAACCTACAAAACCATTCTCACACATTGGAATCGACTTAGCCGGACCGTTCACCATAGTCGATTCAGACCACAGAAAATCAAAAGATGGATATTTCTCTCTACTTGCATGACTACAAGGGCAATACATCTCGAAGTAGTTAAAGATCTAAGTGCACTTCAAATAATCAACGTCCTCAGAAGACTAATTTCCAGAGAGGCAAACCGCAACTCATTATATCAGACAACGCCACTAATTTTAAGCGTAGCAATGAACTTCTTACATCCACGGAGAATGAAAACATCCTACAAGCTAAGGCGACACAACTTTTCCTAACCAATGAAAAAATACAATGGCAATTTATAACACCTCTTTCCCCTTGGAAAGGCGGTTTCTATGAACGCTTAATTGGCATTATGAAATCAACGTTAAAACGCGTAGTAGCAAAAAGAATACTAGATGAAACAGACTTCGCAACAATAGTCACAGAATGCGAAGCCATGGTAAATTCTAGACCACTTGCGTACTCAGGAAGCACGATCGAAGACTCGTTAATAATCCGTCCAATTGACTTTCTCATACCTAACGCTAACATCAAGCCATTACTAAATACGAACCCTACGAGCGACAACACCGACCCAGAATACATACCCAAAATCTCTAACGAAAGATCAAGCCATTAAATACCTACAAAGTCAATCAAACTATCTCAAGCACCTCTGGCAAGCTTGGCACACCGCGTATCTTCTTGAATTAAGAAACTATCATCAACGACGTATCAAACAAAAGAGCTTTACCAGAAAGCAGCCCCGTGTCGGAGAAGTGGTTCTCATCATGGATGAAGACATACCCCGAATCGACTGGCCACTTAGGACTCGTAACTAGTCTAATCCAAGACCAAGATGGTGCAGTCAGATCAGTTAAACTACGAACCTCAAAATCAACTCTAGAAAGATCAATCAACATGCTAATACCTCTAGAACTAGATGACGACACACGAGAAACACCATCCACAGATAACACTGCAACAATGAGAAATGAAATAGAGCCACACACGCAATCCAACAGAATAACCGATCCCAGCAAAGTAGACTCAACAAGTCCCGATATAACTAACGGTCTGCGATCACGTCCAATTCTTCCACGACGGGCAAAACTAAACAAAACCTACACTCATACGACAATAACAACGGATAAGAGAGATATATTTCTTAATCGTAGCCAACCAACCACGCCACTAACGTTATGGAAGCACTGGCTCACTATAGCACTAGCTCTCACATTAATTAACCCTACAACCTCACATAACCAACACACAATTCTTCACTGTGTGACAGGAGGAATCAATATACAGTCACATCAACAACCTGAACGAATACAAGTATGTGGAAACGATTACTGCATGGAAATAAAAGAGCCAGACCACAACATAACCGTTCAGTTTCCCACCTGAAGTAACATTACACACATATCACATTACATTAAATCAGTAATTAAAAATGCCACGGAGGCCACCCACTGGGCTTGTCCTCCGAGCCCTTTTTGCGAACAAATCAAATGCAACTTTTGCACACAAATGGTTTCAAACCCCGAATGCTGGCCAAGAATTGCAATCGCTGTAACAGCAATTCTCCTCTACCTCACAGTACTAACGGCATATATAGCGTTTCAAGTAACTCGTAAAGTTTTGAGAATTGTAACGTATACCTGCGCAAAACTGAAGCTTCGCAAGATCTTAACAATGATCA